AAAAAAATGAAGATAGATTGGATCTTTGTGAGTTCAAGGCCAGCCTGGTCTACAAGAACTAGTTCCAGGACAGGCTCCAAAAACTACAGAGAAACCCTGTCTTGAAAAACGAAAAACAATAGCAACAACAAAAATTGAGGTGAAAATTGAAGGACACAGACATTTTTACAGCATTTTGTTTGAGCAATTATCCCCCGGTATCCATGAGAGAAATGGTTCTAGGATTCCCAAGGATACCAAAGTGATGGGCTATGTAGGTCTCCTGTGTAAAATGGGGGTATTGCACACACATAGCCCATCATATCATCATATCGTCTTCTGAGATTTACACCCTCTCTAGCTAAAGCACATAGTGCCTAACACAAAGAGACTATGTGTATAGATGTTATACCATGCTGCCTTAAATAAGAATTAGTTTTGGTGGTTTTTAAAAATATTTTTGAATTAAAAATGTTTTAATCTATTATTGTTGTGTGTGTGATGTGTGTATGTGTATGTAGGCACATGTATGGGGGTCAGAGGACAACCTCCATCATCACGACATAGGTACCAAGATCAAACTTAAAGTGCCAGGTTTGCAGAACAAGCACCTTCACTCACTGAACACTTAGGAAGATTTTTAATCCCAGGTTGTTTGTGGAACCTGTGGACACATGCATGCACACACGTGTGCGTGCACACAGAGGTATGCGGCTGTGCCCATAGGAAAGAACCTCTTGTTTTTCAGTTTCATGGCCTTCCAATGGATCTCCTCTAATGCTAGTTCCTTGTTCAGGTGTGTGTGTGTGTGTGTGTGTGTGTGTGTGTGTGTGTGTTGGTTTATTTCTCAGAAAGTGATTCTTTCATTTAAAGTCAGTCGGAGATGAATGTGTGCAACAGTTAAACTATTGTTGAGTTCTGACAGTCTTCTACTCCCACCAAAGTAAAGACCAGAACTCTCCTTTTGAGATGCAATCCCAGTGTCAGGCCTTGATGGTTGTGAACTTCAAGAGGACCTAATATTGTTTACAATCAAATAGAATAAGCCACCTGAAATACTTCCCTCAGGAACAAAAACAACAACAAAAAAAAAACAATATGTGTGTACATGTATATGTATGTATACACATATGTGTGTATGTACTCATATATATTTTGGAATTTGAGAAGAGTACAATTTGAAAGCACTTAAAAAGCAATCAGGATCCGATGGACTGATAAAAACCTAAATTCCTTTCATCTCTCTAGAACAAGGCTCTTTTCTTCCCTTGGAAACTGTGCCTCTTGTCAGCTACAAACACAGAGGAAGAAAGACCTCAGGAAATGGCCCGTGAGTGGGCTACACATGCTAGCATTTGCTCCCTGCTGTCTTTGACGCAGCATTATCAGTGGATTTGAAGGGAAGAGAAACAGATTCTGGCCAAAACTCACAGAAAAGGGAGAATGGGGAGAACCGAGTGGTGGGTGACAGGGAAACCCGCAGACTCCCAAGTGAGACATAAAGCTGTCCCAGAGGAAGAGGACTAGTGATGGGGCTGTCACCACGGTCACACCCTGTCTGTCTCTACCTTCTCTAAACGACAACATTTACTTAAGGTATTTTAGAGATGGATATACATTTGGGGGAGGGAACTAATTACCCCCACTTAACAGAGGATGTTACCTACGTATCAGTCACCTACAGGCATGTGGACAGAGGTTTCACTGTGTGGAGACGTTGCATTTCCTGTGAGATCTGTTCGGGTGGGAGGAACTGGGCAGAGGCAGTTCCTAGAAAGCAGGCAGATGTGGGTAAACATTTTGTGCTTTGTTGACTCCCCTGCCACCATAATTTCTTTGTGTCAACCGACTACAGCTACAGCTTTGCAAAAACTCACCGGCTATATAATAGCATTTGCAAAAATGTATGCGGGGGCTATAAAATCTTGTTAAACATTGATGTCTGTGTTCAAATACTAGACTATAGTGTCTTGTGTGCATGGCTACAAAGAATCATCTTTAATGGTTTTAGGAGAATTTTTAGAGGAAAAGGACTGGGTTCTGTTCAGAAAAGTTCCAAAAGCACGGAGCTCAACTCAGACTCAGTTTCTGCACTGAACGACTCCCTGGGGCCCTGAGTGCATGCCTATCAGTGGGAAATGGAAAGAGGCCGTTTGAAGGCATTATTCCTATTGCTAGATACATAAATAATGGTTTAAATTTGGTGACTATCTGTGAACACCTTGGATAAATTTGGGACATGCTGGCTTGAGTTTGAAGATAGAGATTTCCCTCAGAAAGGGGAGAAGAGGGGTGTAAAAAAGGGGTGCTTGGGTGCAAACAAGATGATTATTTATTAATAAAAATGTCCAGGAGGAAAGCCAGCTTGAGGTATATACAGAGAGAACGTTAGCTGAGAGCAAATTAGTCCCAGAGACATGAAACCCAGCCCTGTGGGGCGCTGTGAGCTGCACGGTCAGTTTCCAGGAGCCAGTGCGGAAGGTCTCTGGGATACTGTCCTCATGTCCATGATGCCTGTTTTGGTTAATGGAACATTCTCTGAATGTTTTACTCTTTGGAGTGTGCTTCTGTATAAGTTTAAGACCCAAATATTTGTCGGAAACAGTGGGTCTATGGCTACCTTCTTAGGTGGTTAGATATGTCATTATAATTGTCATTATAATTGGTAACTACGTAGTTCACCTTCTAATTTCTCTGTTTTACACTGTAGTTTCTTCTACATCAAATAAAGGAGCACTGTTGTCAGAGCCTGCTGTTTTACTGATAAACTACCAATTAAAAATTTGAATTTTATTTCTAGCCTATGGTGAGGCCGACATACAATGGGACAATACAACTTTTAACTGTACTCATCAGACTTTTAAAACATTAGCCTTGGCTTCACAATGGTGCTTCATCCAGCTGCACTCCATTCTGACTTTGCTATGAGCCTGACTACGCTTTGGTGTGGGAGCTGTGGCTGTGGACATATGGGTACACTTCGCGTGCGCATGTGTGCTCCTGCACATCTATCTACATTGGACTGAGTAAAATAAACATAGGTGTAGCATAATGGCAAACACATAAATGCTAGGAAAAGGGAGGAAACAAATTCCTCCGCTCAGTGGAGGACGCTACTCATGCATCAGCCACCTACAGACATGTGGGCAGAGGTTCCACAGTCGGGAAGACTAAAGCAACCTAGGGGGATGCAGTGACCGAGGTGCCACTTTGATGGAGGAGTCAGAAAAGACCTCTTTGCCAATAGAACATCTGAGCAAGCTGACAGAGTGATGCAAAGAGAGTTCTAGAATTCCAGAAAGCAGGTACAAGCCTGAGATGCTTGCCCATTAGTTTGTCTTGGGAGCGCCGGGAGGGTCAGTGGCTGGAGGCAGGTGACAGATGGGAGACAGCAGAAGCTAGTGGTGGGCAAGGGGATGTGTGCGTGGGAGGGTGGCATTGGATGAGGCCGGGTTCTGTGCTTCATTCCGTGTGTGATAGGCTACAATAGCCAGAACACAGCCAGCAACGCCACCGCGCCCATTCTTCAGCGACTCCTCTCTCAGTCGATGCAACCAAAATAAAAATATATCTTACACAAAGTTTGATAGCGTGTTCTCAGGCAAGCACTTTGGCAGCCGGGCATGAAGAGGCAGCGGGATGAATGGGCCCCCTTTTAAATGGGATGGGCTCGGCCGCCGCTTTGCGGCTCAATTTGTTGTCTATAAATATCCCTGGTAACACAAGCTATTAACCAAGTGACTGGGGAAAGAAAGGCGAGTGGCCCCAGGTTGGAACTGCTCCATGGTGAGTCATTTGCCCTGTTCTTACCTGTGTGCCTTAAGCCGGTGGAATGCTGTTTGTGTGTGGGAGGCATGCTGGCACAAGCTGGGGACAGCGTAAATCAAGTGACACTCTTGCTGCTGTGTCAGAGGCAGAGGGAGCTAGTCCTGTGCCCTCAGGAATCCGCTTAAAGAGAGGAGATCTGAGGCAGGGAAGGAGGAAGCAGCCTCCCTTCCTAGAGACCTCTTGCGTGGTGTTCCAGTCGGCAGCCTGGTACAACTTTGTAATGACGCTTACAGGTGGTAACACAGTCTGCCAACCGGAGTCCAGGGATGTGATTCTCTGGATCCTATGATGTGGTAGCTTTAGATATTAAGTAGGACTTTGCCCTTGAATGACTCTTTGATTCGTTTATCTAATTATTCTTTATCAATAAACTATCGAGTCAGATACTGGGGCAAGAACCTGAGTGATCAGAGAAGTGGCAGAGAAGAAACCAGTGACCTCCTGTTCTCACTTTCCCCCATCCAAAAAGATCGAAACTCTCTCTAAGGCCCGCCCTACTACTTCCTGTGTCTATCTGTCCTCAGGCCTCCAAAACCTCTAAGGCTAATTTTGGTCAGTTAGTGGTTAGCTTCGCCCTCTGATTCAAAGCAAACTTGATTGGCAGTCTCGGGAGCATCAGAATGTGATCAACATATCTCGCAACTCTTCGTGTGTGCCTGAGTCCTGTTACTTCTCTCTTTTCGTTACTCTCTGAGGTGCTGGGACTGGAAGGAACCTGGGTTTCAGGTCCAGTCTCACAGGTCAACAGCAAGTGATCCGAACAGCAAGAAAGCAATCCTTCGACCTTTCGGAGCCTTGGTTTCCTCATCGGCAAAACAGGGGCAACCACGTGGACCTGTGCCTAGCCAACCTGGCCGCGAGGAAGCCCTTGCTCTACCGGTTCAGCTGAGCCTCCTGGAGCAATGATTTGCTCAGCTGATTTGAGAGTAGTTTTATACATTGTCGGTGTAAGATATGGAGCGAGTGACCAGGGCACTTGCGGGCGGGGGGACTGAGGGAGGAAAATGTACCATGCAGAGTATGGAGTTTTATTGAGGAAGAGGGTGTTGGGAGGGTACTGGGGAGCAAGGGAGAGATACAGAGACGGGGGCGGAGGGGGGGAGGAGAGGGAAGAGAGAGGAGAAAGAAGAGGAGGGGGGGGAGGGGAAAGAAAGAGAGAGAGAGAGATGCCTCTTCAGAAGAATGGCAGGGAGAGAGGGAAGGAAAGAGATCCGCTTGCCTTGGTGGGAACAGTGTGGGAGTGGGCGGAACTTGTCTTCTCAAAGAGACCTCCTCCACCTGCGTAGAGCTGTAGCAGCCACAGGCCTCTAGGCCAGCTAGGTGACGGGCAGGCCTAACATTCCTGTCTTATCATAAAAGGTGGGGAAAGTCGGCATTTTCAAAATGCCAAGTTTTGCTATCAAACCTTCAATCTCTTTTGTGAGTCAGCTAAGTATCCTTCCCAGTTTCCTCCCTTCCAGCTGCCCTGCTGAGTCCCCTGAAGGGTGAGGAACCAAGGTTTATGGAGGACCTGCTGCCTTTGAGGCATTTCTCGCCCACGATCCTGCAGCAACTGAGACAACAGAGCCCCCGAAAAGTAAGAATTCAGCACTTGGCAACAGATAAAGTGGCAGGAGTGGATGTCACCCTTGCTCTGCTTGAATCCTGAACTTCAGTTTCCTCCAGATTCCTGGGTGCTGTGCTCCTTGAGGACAGGACTTCCAGATGCTCACATCCTCCCATTCCGCTTGAAGAAGTCCCTGGAAAGGAAAAGGAAGGACCCGGAGATGGGGCAGTGTATCCTTATGGCTGAGTGTCTGAATCTCATCCGACTCTGTGGATAATTCAGGTTCCCCAAACAGGGTCATGATGGTTGAGTATATTCACATAAAAGATGCTTCTACCCTATTTTTTAAATTAACACCTCTCCCTGGCAGGCTGTTCTGGAACCGAGGGCTCTTCTGGGCACCCTAGTTTTGAGACTCAATTCCCTTCATCGAGGGTGCCCTAATGCTGAAATAGGTCCACCCAGAAACGAAGACAGAACTTAAATCCCACCACATATTTCTCTCTTATGAAACAAACAGCTTTAGTTCCTCTAGATTTCCCCGAAGGCTCGTTTCCTTGGCCTTTTGATAAATTTCATAACTCTTTTCTGGCCATTTTTCAAACTTTCCACTACTTGCCAAAGTTACTGAGTCCAAAATTGGCCATTTCAGCTTAGCAGAGCTCCAAGAAAGCTGGTGACTAGAGGCTGCCCAATAGTCCTAGCATCTCGCCTCCTGCTTCTGCATCCCAGGGGTGTGCTCCGTGTTAATTCAGCAGCGCTAAGCATTGAGTCATTTTCCTCACTGGCAAGAAAAGCCAGTGCTGAAACAAACAACAAGAGAGGACGCCAGAGCCTTCAACAGCGTCTAACAGCAAGATTGCCTCCTCACCGCCTTCGTTGGTGGAAAGTCTGTGTGTGGGGACCTCTCAAGGACATTGCACACAACTGAGCAGTTCTCAACTAGTATCAAGGTCTTGAAAAGGATGCCAAATGGATCAACAAAACAGACCTTATTAGTTTTTCTGGCTTAAATTCCTTAATCAATGCGCAGTTGGGGAGGTTCCTATTGGAAGTAAGCAAAGCGTTAAAGACTATATAGCATGAATTGTTTGACAATATTGAAACTAACGAGATTTTGTCTTTGTTTTTAACTCTGGGGGCTGTAAAGGAATCACTTGAAATACACAAGAAGGCTGTTGCTTTAACCATTATTCTTTAGCAGACATCTAGCGGGGGGAGGGGCATGCTCATATTCAGAATCTAAAGATTTGGTATTTGATTTTGTTAGTTATTTCGAGAGCCATCATCATTTTATTTAAAATTATTTTCTAACTCAGCTCAAGGCTTAGAAGAATTCTCAAAGTTCTTACCTGTGTTGTTTTTGCTGTGTTTTTGGTCCATCCCTCCCCCCTTTGGTTCTATATTTCCCAGTTTCAGAAAACTGATGAGAAAATGAATGCTTTAATTTCTTACTCAACAAATCAATTTAAAAAACAACAGGCAGATCTGGTTGTAAATTCTGTTTCCCACACTGACGAGGTGTGACCTGTGACCTTCAGGTGATTTAACTCTCTGTGTCTTGAGGGTTTTGTTTGTGTGTTTGTTTTTTAAGACGCAGCTCTTCACCTGGTTTGGGAACGTGGCAACAGCTCAAACATGGGCCCCTGTGGCCTCAGCAACTCCTTCTGTTGGCCCAGTCATGGCTTGGGGTTCTAACTCAGTTCTTTCAAGTATCATCCACACCAACATTTAAGAATCTTGTCGCTGGGAAACATAAAATTTCATTCAAATTCAAAGGGAAATCTTGAGATTCTAGTTGAACCTCTGCTTACAAAGGTTCTGAGCATTTCTGACTCAACCTGAAAAGCATTAGCTCTTCAGTGAACCTCGCTAATCTGCGATGCTTCCACTCTCTTGGACATGTCTATAAGCTTATTTGGGGATTTTTTTTTTTTCATTGTCAGCCACCATCACAGATTTTCATCTGTGATGTAGCTGCCTTCAGTTACACATGGGCCTCTTGCTCCCCTGGGGTTCCACGACAATTGTTTAAACAAGAACTCTGTTTTCCTGATTTTATTTATTCAGAGTAATCCCCCCCCCCCCCATAGACCTTTTTTGACTTCCTGTGGTTTTTCTTAAGCCAGGGGAATGCTTAGGAAACATCGGTATTACATTTCTGGCTAATACAAAATGTAGAAGTGGAAAAATGATAGCAGTTCCCAAAGGTACCAAGAATTGGCACACTCTGTGATAAGTTGTTACCATGGTGGCCCCAATGAGCTGGAGTTTCTGGAGTTTCTGCCCTCACACAGTCCACTGCCATACCGGCTGTGAGTTTGGCGAGCTCAACCTCTCAAAGGAGCCGTCTTGGAAGTAGATCCTCTCGCCCCAGTTGACCCGAGTTCACTAACATTATTTGTCACAGAGGCAATGCTCCATTGCTGAACCCTGACCAAAGAGCAGAATTATGAGCAGTTGAATAATTGCTGCCATTTTAAGTCAGTGAGTTTGGAGATAGTTTGTATGTTATAGTAGATAGTAGAAACACACACACACAAAAACCTCATTCCTAAATGCAAAATGGAGAACAACTAGCCACAAATTGATGCAATGCTGTGTTGACATTTGTTGAATGTAAATCTCCCCAGCCTAAGCCACAGCAGGATATTATTAAAAGCAAGTTACTGGCTCCTCTTCATAAAATATGGCTGACATAGATGACAGGTGAAATTGTCCTACATGATTGTATTCAGATGAGCATCACATGGCATTTGTCTAGTGGAGACAGCTGTTTCATCCCCTCTCTTCCTCCCCTTTCTTTCTTCATTCTGAAGTATTCACGGTCAACAAGAGAAGCAACAAGCTCTGTTGGAGCTAGCCCATGCTCCTACCATCTTAATTCTTTTCCAGGTACCATAAACTATGATGGACCGAAGTCTGACGACTACACACACACACACACACACACACACACACACACACACACACAATCACTCACTCCTAAATGCAAAATTAAGAGAAACTAGCCACACAAATCGATGCAATGTTGGGTTGACATTTAGCAAACATGAATCTCCAACCTAAACCAATACTAAGTTTTTGGAAATGACCATGTCAGTCTGGAGGAATGACGGACATTAGCTGATCCAAAGAGAAAGGCCAACACTGAGAACAGAAGGAATTATCACTTGTGTGTGGTCCATTCGTATTTAGCAGACCAGACTGCTACATAGACATTACCTGAGGGTAGAAAAGCTATAGTTTCATATTTTTAGTGGCCGGTGTGTGCTTCAGTGGGTCTCAAGACTGCTCCACCCTGCAGAGTGTGTCTGGCACCTCTTCCTTGGAGGTTCTGGCTCTTCTGCCAGATGTGTGATGCCGACCCTGCTGCATGCATACTCCCTGATGTGTGAGGGTCAAGGCAGTCTTGGCTTCCAGCTACAGGGAAAATAAAATGGAATGCAAGTGTCGTCTGTTTTATGTTGAGCAGCTAACAAAGGACAAGATTTGAAACTCCTAGAAAAGAAAAGGTGGAAGAGAGTTATTGTCTTACATGCATAAACACTCTCTGGCTTACGGTAGTTTGATTATGAATTTTTTCAACATTATGGTATAAAAATAGGATGGTTAGAGTAAAGCTTATGTTACACAGCTTAAATTTGAATCTTTTCCTGGACTGGTGACATGTAGGGCTCTGTCTTGTGATGTCACATAACAGTGAGCCACAGCTTAGTCAGCTGATAACAACAAGTAGAGAACATCTGTTCTGAAGAAGAGACCTTGAGGGGCTTGGAGAGATGGCTCAGTGGTTAAGACCACTGGCTCTTCTTTCAGAGGACCCAGGTTTAGTTCCCAGCAACTAAATAGTAGTTCACAACTGTCTTTAACTCCTGTTCCAGGGGATACTACACCTTCATACAGATATACATACAGGCAAAACACCAGTGCATAGAAAATACAAGTAAATAAATTACATTAAAAAAAAAAGAAGAAACTTCGATAGCCACTCCATTAGCCTATTAAAAGTTAAGATACAGCATGTGGTGGTGGTCCATGCCTTTAATTCCCTTTAGTCCCAGAACTCGAGAGGCATAAGCAAGAGGATTTCTGTGAGTTTGAAGCCAATTGGGTCTATAGGGTAAGTTCCAGAACGGCCAGAACTGCAGAACTGTTACATAGAGAAACCCTGTCTCTGAAAACACAAACCAACAACCCCCACCCCCCCAAACCAAAAAAGTTAAGATGCTTTTCTTATAAGTTTTAAATTAAAAGAAAGTTGAATTGTGCATGTGTGTGTGTGTATTGTGCACACATGTGTGGCATGACATTCAGGGCTGAGGTTAACTTGTGATCAGTTCTCTCCACCATGTTGTCTTGGGGGCTTGAATTCAGGTTATCAGCTTGGAGGCAAGCATTTTGACCCACTAAGACATCTTGCTGGCCCAAGATTTTTGTTTATTTGTTTTTTGTTTTTAATCTGTAGAGAGATGGCACAATGTGATGGCTCTAAGACTAGACACTGGGTAAGGCTGTTTGGGCCTAGTTATCTGCTTTCATGTGGTAGTGACATCACAGGCTTATCCCCAAACCTGGAATCATCCTGAGGGTTGAAAGCTGGGTGTGAAGAAATCCACAGACCTTCCCCCTCTGCTCTATACCCATATATGAGACTTGTAGACTCTCATGAGAAAACTAGCTTACAACTTATGGCTACTTTTGCTGGCTGTCCCTACATTTGTTGGATTCTTCAGAGATCTTCATGTTAGCTCTCTGACCTTGATGGCTTCTATCCCCATTTCCAGAATTCACTCATCTTGAGTGACAAAGACTGGTAGAATCCACTTTTCAAATGCTTGTTTTGGCTAGAGAGTCAAACAAGTACCTGCTATCCTATTGCTTTACAAGTCTGCCGAGAGGACCTGCCGTGCAGTTGGCAGGCGACCTGGGTCTTTCTGGCTCCCCAGAACTGAGAAGTATCCTCATCTTAGCAATGACTTTGGGCCCTTGAATCTGGAAATGGTGTTGGTTATCAGGTGAGCAATGGCTTGTTGATAGTGAACAAGTTCAGATACTTCCATGAAGGATTGATTATTCTGGTGCTCAACAGCAGTACTTTGGGGTGTATGTGTCCATGGTGCCTGAGAGTCTTTGTGTATGTTTGTGTGTGTGAAGGTACATGTAAATGTGGGGGCCAGAGGACACCTCTGCTGTCATCCTGAGAAACGCCGTCCACCTCCTCTGAGACGAAGGATTTCATTTTCCTGGAGCCCACCAATTATGCTATACCGGCTGGCCAATGAGCCCCAAGGATCCTCCAATCTCTGCCTCCCTGGCTTTGATTAAAAGCTCATGCTAGCATTTTTCCCATGGATCCTGGGGACTGAGCTTTGGCCCTCGTGCTCTGAGGCAAGGACTTCACCCAATGAGCCATTTTCCTGGCCCTGCAGGATGCTTATTTGATATGAAGAGTGTAGTGTGGGTTGAGTCTTATTTTACCACTCAGGAATTTCTTCTCAGGGAAGAACTGTGTCTTCTTCTCCCTTCTCCCGTCCAAGGCACGATGTAGCATCTTGGCAGTGGGTAGGCAGAATTGATTGCCTGAGTGAATGTGTGCTCTGTTCAAAGGCTTGTCCGTTGTCTAATACATGCAATCGTGTTTGCGATGAAGCCTTCTCACGTTGGTAAAGAACGCACTGCCAGGGAGATCCCTGGGTATCCCTTTGCAGTAACATAAGCTCCAACTTCCAGAATAGAAGTTTCGAGGTTTGTTCTTTAGTCTGTTACCAATAGTTGAGGATCAAACACAGGCGCTCTGTCTATTAGCCTGAAAGTCACAGGCTACATGCTCACGTGACAATTCATTTTCCCCCCGATTCTGGCGGTAGGACGACTGACATTGCAGTGTTCTTCATGTAGTTTTTCCGCAGCCTCTCTCCCACCCTTCTGCACAGCTTTTTCTCCTATGAGCCCTCTCACCCAAGTTTCCTGTAACATAACCCCCATTCTCATTTTCTCTTATTCTGAGGGCATCTGTTGTATTGAATTAAGGCCTTAATCACATCTCTAAAAGCCCATTCCAATTGTCATCCCATTCTGAGGGACTAGGCATTAAGATTTCCAACATATAAATAGGGGTGAAAGAGGGCCTTAGCCCACAACAGCCTGATAAGTTGCCTCTTCCCCTAGCGTTTTCGTTTTGAAAGAGGTTTCTTAGATCCTTAATCCTAAAGGAATAATGTGCCGTGGTGTGTCACACACTGAGGGGCTGAGGTAGAGGCTGTTTGTCGGATGTGGAAGCAGCCCAGGTTGAACGTGGATTATAACCTCACTTCCCCATGGCACCGGTCAACCCTGACTCTCGGTTCCATGCCTGTCCTCTCAGGCCATTCAAAGACACTTGGATTTCAAGGAGAGACAAATCCAAGATACGTGGCCTGCTCAGAGGAGCCTCACAGACACCACACATTGCTAACGACCGTCTCTTCTAGAAGAATCTGTAAGGCTCACAGTGTAATGTGCCTAACAGCTATTTTCAAATTGCAGAGGTGTCACGGGTGAATTCCCAGGGTCAGCAAATGATGGGGTTCAGGACCATTTGCTGTGACCTCCAGAGCTATTTGCTTGGTGCAAATAACTCCCTAGCTCCTGACTGAAGAGTAGCCAGTTCTTCTTTCTCAGGAGGGCCCTGAAGTCCCATTTATAAATCTTCTTTTGTCATAGCATCCAGAGCCAGGGAACCTCCAGCTGTTCTCGGGCTGCTTCTTGGAATGAAGTACAATCCAGGCCAGGATGTCGGGACAGACCGCATGAGTGGGCATAAGTGCTCACCACCTGGAACCCACAGTCTCAGGAGTCCATGAGGAAATGAGGAAGAAGCCTGCGGGTTACAAAGCCACTGGGGTTTCTCCTCACCTGGGTAATGGGGCATCTTACACAGTGGCTCCATTGTCTGAAACAGAATGGGAGCCAAACTCCTGTCCTGAGGAAGAAT